AGCACCGATAGCAAAGACTCCTTATCGTCTCGCACCTCCAGAGATGAAAGAAATGATGGATCAACTACAGAAATTATTGGATAAAGGTTTCATACGACCGAGCACTTCACCTTGGGGTGCTCCGATATTATTTGTCAAGAAGAAAGACGGATCTTTTCGGATGTGCATCGATTACCGTGAGCTGAATAAAGTAACAATTAAGAATAAGTATCTGTTACCTCGTATTGATGATTTGTTTGATCAGCTTCAAGGTGCAAGGTTCTTCTCCAAGATTGATCTTAGATCAGGTTATCACCAACTAAAAGTACGGGAGGAGGATGTACCTAAGACTGCTTTCCGTACGAGATATGGGCATTATGAATTTCTGGTGATGCCTTTCGGTCTCACAAATGCCCCAGCTGTATTTATGGACTTAATGAATCGAGTATGTCGTCCGATGCTTGATAAGTCTGTGATTGTATTCATTGATGACATTCTTGTGTACTCGAAGTCTGAGACCGATCACGCAACACACCTTCGACAAATGCTGGAGTTGTTAAGAAAAGAGTGGCTTTATACTAAATTTTCAAAATGTGAATTTTGGCTACGTCAGATACAATTCTTGGGACATACTGTGTCCGATGACGGTATCTCTGTGGATCCTGTAAAGATTGAAGCAGTACAAAAATGGGAACAACCCAAGAATGCATCAGAGATTCGGAGTTTTCTCAGGCTAACGGGATATTATCGACGTTTCATTTGGGATTTCTCTAAGATTGTTGTTCCTCTCACTTATCTTACCTGCAAAGATGTAAAGTTTGCGTGGACCGAAGACCAAGAGAAGGCATTTCAGACTTTGAAAGATTGCTTGACGCACGCACTAGTTCTTGCCTTACCTGAGGGTAGTAAGGGTTTTGTTGTCTATAGTGATGCCTCACGATTGGGACATGGTTGTGTATTGATGCAGAAAGGAAAGGTTATCGCTTATGCATCACGTCAGTTGAAGGAATACGAAAAGAATTACCCCACTCATGATCTTGAGTTGGCGGCTGTAGTATTCGCTCTAAAGTTGTGGCGACATTATCTTTATGGCACAAAATGCCAACTCTACACCGATCACAAGAGTTTGAAGTATTTGTTAGACCAACAGACACTTAATATGCGACAACAACGTGCTATGGAGCTCATTAAAGACTATGATTGTGAAATACTCTATCATCCCGGTAAAGCTAATGTAGTGGCAGATGCATTAAGTCGAAAAGTATATGGTGGATCTTTGTGTTATGTTATCACTCACGTGACGGGAAGGTCGACTCTATTTGATGATTTACAACAGTGGCAACTTGAGGCTTTGAAACCTGAGCATATTAAGCCAGAACGAATGGTAAGCTATGTTGATTCCTTATTTGACGACAATCGTGGTCTGAAGGTCTTTAAGACCCGAATTTGGGTCCCTAGACTTGGTGGTTTACGAGAAGTGATTTTAGCGGAGGCACATAAATCAATATTATCCATCCACCCAGGATGTACTAAGATGTATCATGATTTACGGACAGATTATTGGTGGCCGGGAATGAAAACGGATATCGGGCGTTACGTTGAAAGATGCATCACATGTTTGAAAGTGAAAGCRGAGCACCAGAAGCCGTATGGGAGTCTTCAGCCTCTTGAGGTCCCCGTGTGGAAATGGGAGGAGCTAACTATGGATCTGGTCACCAAACTGCCAAAGACTTCTCGGCAACATGATAGCATATGGGTTATCGTTGACAGACTGACTAAATCAGCGTTATTCCTTCCTGTTCAAGAATCTTACCCCATGGATCGCTGGGCTCAGTTGTATGTAGACGAAGTTGTTGCTCGACATGGAGTGCCTATGAAAGTTATCTCTGATCGGGACTCTCGATTTACTTCTAATTTCTGGACCAGTTTTCAGCGTGAGCTGGGTACGCGACATGCGTTTAGTACGGCTTATCATCCTCAAACCGATGGTCAATCTGAACGTACCATTCAAACACTTGAGTATATGTTATGAGCATGCGTTTTGGAATTTGGTGGTAACTGGGATGCTCATTTGCCCTTAATCGAGTTTTCTTACAATAACAGCTACCACTCGACAATTGGCATGGCTCCTTTCGAGGCKTTKTATGGACGKAARTGTCGTACACCTCTCTGTTGGAGGGAAACTGGAGAGAAAGTGTTACCAGGGCCCGAACTTGTGCAAATTACGAATGATAAGATTCAAGTGATTAGAGAAAGAAAGAAGGCGGCCCAGGATAGGCAAAAGTCTTATGCGGATCGTCGTAGAAGGCCAATCGAGTTCTCGGTCGGTGATCTAGTAATGTTGAAGGTTTCTCCATGGCACGATATACACCGATTTAGAAAGCAGGGTAAACTTAGCCCTCGTTTCATTGGGCCATTCAAGATATTGGAGCGTGTAGGAAAACAAGCGTATCAACTTGAGTTGCCAGAAGAACTCTCATATATCCATGACGTTTTTCATGTCGGTTATCTAAGGAAATGTCTCGCTAAAAACGAAGAGGTGGTGCCAATAACAGAAGTCAAAGTAGACGGGAAACTTAGATACGTTGAAGAACCCGAAACTATCTTAAATGAACGAACGGTAAATCTGCGCAATAAGGTTGTGGAATTGGTATTGGTTAAGTGGAAGCATCACCATGGACCAAATTGGACTTGGGAGAATAAASAAGAAATGATGGCCAAATACCCAACCCTGTTCCAACAACGATGATTCCGAGGACGGAATCTTCAAAAGGAGGAGGTATTTGTAACATCCGCCCTCCTAATTATACTTAACTAATACTTCTAAGTATCCATTATATATTAAAGCATGTTTTACATATTAAGTGTATTTAAATTTTTATTTTTTTTTGTTGCTAAAATGCTAAGTATACTAGTGATTTATAAATAGAACTCATAGTTGGAATGAGATGTAGAATGTAAGATTGATGCCAACATCTCACAAATGACATAACTAGATGATGTGAAAGTTCAAAATGCAAAGTACATAGTCGAAATGAAAATTGGGTAGATAACTAAAGTGCCTAAATGGGAGAAATCTACCCAAAACTTAAACGGATGATCTAAATGGTGATGTAAAGGTTGGAACACATTTGAATCAGTTAATATGATGTGTTAGAAGTGACGGAAGTCGAAAAAGTCGCGTAGATTGTCTTTTAGGCAATTTTTTCAAATTACGGTCCTATTTCGATGAACTACGCACACAATACTTAATCGGAAGGTTTTTGATAGAATGTGAAGCTTTGGAACTAAGTTTGGGACCTATTAGAAGTTGTTGGAAGTGGCGGAAAAATTTTGCGGCATTCCGAGCTCAAAATCAAAAACGACAAATTTGTAAARGAAAGCGTAACACATACAAATATGCAAAACTGCTGTTACTGGAAGATCTTTCATGAAATATTTTTATTGAAAAGCTATAGATTATCTTGTTACGAACGCGTAGGCGAAAACCTCATCGAAAACGGAGTTCCGAGCGAATAGTTATGCGATTTTTAGTGTTTAATGGTCAATATGGATACCCAGCCGGGTCAACTCGACCCAACTCGGGTTTTAGTGTAAAAATAGGCAGAAATTATGTATTTTCACCATTTTTCTTATGAAACAACATCCACACCTACTGAAGGTGCGATTTTCACACACTTGAAGCTTAAACCTTCCAATTCTTGGTGATTTGAAGGTTAAAGTGTTAGATTCTTGAAGAATAGGTGATAATCATCAAAGGTATGTCTCTAATTTCAAGTTTATCCCATGTAATTTGAGATAATAAAGAAGGTTAGGGTTTGCATGTAAGGTATTATATAAAGATGATGCTAGACTAAGGTTGTTTGATGATGATTATAGCCTAATCATGAAAGAAACTTGGAATAATTGCATGTATTAGTAAGAAAGCCACTAGCTTAAGCATTGTTAGTGATATTGACGATTAATGGGGAAAAATCATGATTATATGTTAATTAATGATTAAATTTCTGAAATTTTGTCAAGAATATATAATGTGTGAGATGAAAACTGAAGATAGTGTAGAAATACAAAAGAATTGGACATTATAATGGATAATATGGGTGAATTGGTCATAAAAGAGTTTGGTTACAACTCTGATTTTGAAAATTCATAGAAAATAGAAGAAAAATCGTATGAATATGAAATTAGTGTCCATGGAAWGGTAAGAAKATGAACTACATTTCATATTTGGACATGAAAATGTGAAATTGAAGTTAAGATGGGCAAACACTGCAACATGTACTGTGCTGTAAAGCTGAATTTTGACAGCTTTGAGCTGTTGTGTTGTAAAATACATAATAAATCACAGAAATATCATAAAAATACGAGGTCAGTTGCATTAGAACGATATAAGAGAATACTTTATTTAGTATTTATATGTCATTGGCTAATTTTGAGTCTAAGTGAGGTAAAACATGGGTTGAACAGAGGGCTGTACAGGGGAATTGAAGATAGTATAGTCAAGGTGTATAAGTGTGTAACTTGAGATGAGTTCATAGTTTGTTAATAATAATTGAAATGTTTACTCCAGGGGTTATATTAAGGCTATCGATCGAGCCCGAATTTGAGTATTTCTTTGGCCTCTTGGTAAACCATGATTTATGGATATTACTTCCGGTGATATGCCGTAGCATGGTGTATGTCCACGTATCCCAAGAAGATGGAGGTTRRGTGTGGCATACCGGTTGTCGTACTCACGTATCCCGATTGGTAAGGAGCCGGGTGTGAGTACTTTGCACGGGCCCTGTAGACGAAGAGGGGGTGTGGTGCACATGTTTACTCGATTTCTGATAGTGTTACTTCTGTTTTGATATGTTTGGTATACTTAAATTGATGCCACATGGTTTGTGTGAATCGTATTGCAATGTATGTTAACTGTAATGTGTGAATCGTATTGCAATGTATGTTAACTGTATGGGTTGTAGTTAAACGGTTATTTTTGTTTTGTCTCGGTTAATATATGTATTTTACATCATATTTTTTTTACACTTCGATAGAAGCTCACTAAGCTTCGTCGCTTATTCCGTTAGAATAAATATTTTCAGGAAGGACGATAAAGGACAAAAGTAAAGATTAGGCGGTGTAGATCCGTAGAAGGTTTCAAGACCCCGGACGTCATTTTGGTACTTGTTATGTATATAATTATGTCTTGGGTTGTATTTAGGTAGTTATTATAGTCGGGTAGTTATATATTTTGTCCCGACCTTTTGGTATTGAAATCGTTGATTGTAAGCTTCGTGAAACTTTTGTGTTACAAGTTTTTTTTTATTCGGTTGAACCAATCCTAATTTTTTTGATGAAAATATAAAATTCATATCCCGTACTTGTTTTGGAGATTATAATTCGAAAAATGCTTTGGGTAAATAGTAAACGAACTTAANGTCCCGACCTTTTTGGTATTGAAATCGTTGGTTGTAAGCTTCGTGAAACTTTTGTGTTACAAGTTTTTTTTATTCGGTTGAACCGATCCTAATTTTTTTGATGAAAATATAAAATTCATATCCCGTACTTGTTTTGGAGATTATAATTCGAAAAATGCTTTGGGTAAATAGTAAACGAACTTAACGTAACCGCGATGTTACACTATGTCTACTTACAGTGATTGCACTTATAATCTATAAGCACTAGACATGTACTGTAATACTTGTAATATTTTCAATGATTAATAAAATGAGTATTCCATGTACTTCACTGAAAAAGATCCCTGAAAAAAGTAATAGGGACACAAGTCTATGAGTTCCAGTGTTACTTTTGACATTCACTGACAATCTATAAGTCAGTGAATAAGCTTTCAGTTTCAGTTTTCGTACTTGTAATTTTCTTAGATATAACTTAAGGAAAATTCTCAAGCTGAGACTGACTAACTGAAAAAGATCACAAAATAGTAAAAAGGGACATGTACTTTAATGTAACTTTGCCTTACAATTATTTGATAAGATAACTTTCTTTATGTTATCTTGTTATCATCAAATAGGGGGAAATTGTTGATCCTCTCTCTCAGTGATTTGATGATAATCCCTTTTCACTTATACGTTGTATTTATGTTTCTGTCTTTTCAATTCCAGTGATCTTCACTGAGTATGTACAGTGATCGCTGAAGAACTTGCATTGTAAATCTATCAGAGACAGCGATACTTTAAGAAGACAACACTCACACCAAAGAACCTTCAGCAAACGTCGAACACTGAAACTAAAGATTAGAGACTGGCGAGTACGTGATCTGAAGCGGTATTCAGTGATTACAAGCCAGTCTACATATGTGTGAAGACTGCTCAAGCTTCAGCGAATGATGAAGAGACCTTCAGGTCATTCCAGCAATCAACGATCAAAGGAAGCTTTCTTAGCACGATTGTTGTTGTCTTGTCCTTGTGCACACAAAGGACAAAACCCATACCCTTATGAAATTTGGTACGGTACGTAGCCGACTATTCAACTCTATTGTCCACCAACTTTAGGTAAGGATGTCTGCTCTTGAATAGTGTTTTTTGTACTATTCACTGTAGCAAAGGACAGACCTTCCTCTTAAGGCTTGACACGCACTCTAATACTACCATATTGCATTAAATGAACATTTAATGCACTGGGTATAAATAGAAGTGTTTCTTCTCCATGCAGAGTGCACACAACTCACTCTCTAACCCTAATTCTTAAGCATTTTCTATCTTAAGTAAAGGATCTTCTCTACAGCATTTCTTTTCTTGTATTTTGCTAAGATTTAGTGTGTAACTAAAGATTGTTTAGATAAGTTTTTATCACCTTATCTTTCCGCAAACAATCTTTTAAAATTTGTATTGATCTTCTTTATCAATATATATTTTAAATTTGAAAATATTGTGCTTGTATTCMCCCCCCCCCCCTTCTACAAACTGTTTTACTATTCTTGTAGACCCTCAAGGGACCAACATAATCCCAGCCGAAGTCAGCCTCTAAACACCCTTAAATTCCATCATTTTTGAAGAACATTGAAGGATTCAAGTAGTAGCAAGCAAAGGAAAGGTTAGGCCAGACATCTAGTGCTTCAACGTCATCAAGTTATTAGATATTCGCTAGCAAATCGGTGAGTATTCACGGCCCCACTTTTACTGCTTTTATTATTGAAACTGGGGAAAAAGCGTGAAAATTTGCAAACTATATTGTTTACTCGAAAAACTGTTGAACCGAAAAATTGTTTAGTTTTAAATTGTTTAAATCATGAAAAAATGATTATTATTGCACTATGGTATAAATGATAAATTGATGTACTTGAGTGATAATATAAAAAGTCCCCTCCGCGGACGCTACTAGTTAACTCGGGAACGTGCCGGGCTGTAGTAATTGTGGATAGCGCTATTGTGTTGACAGTCCCACCCAAAAACGAGTGCACATTACTAAATTTAATAGTTCTACTCATGTGCGCGAACGAGCCACCGCTGAGGTAGTTCTTAAGACGAACCGTGGTACCTAAGTGAGCGAGCGAGCCACTTTATGGTAGTTCGTAAACATGCTAGGGGCCTATTGGTCAGGAAAGGTTCTATAGCGGCTCGAGTTTAAGCATCGTATAATTTTCATTTTACCTTGTGCAAAATTTACGTAAATAGTTTGCAATAATAAATTTCTGCATTATAATGATTTAGTGCATATAAAAGCCCATGAACTCACCAACTCTTTGTAGTTGACGTCGTTTTATGGTTCATGCTTTACAGGAGATTAAGTAAGTACTGAAGTCACGGA